GGGCAGGGTGGGAGGTGATGTTGGGGCAGGATGGGAGGTCATGCTGGTGCACGGTTGGAGATGCCATGCAGTGCACGGTGGTAGGCCATACTGATGCAGGTTAGAGGGTGTGGTATGGAGTCAGGAGAGTGAACTAAGTCAAGAGCATTCCCCCATGCAATCTTGAAGCCAGGAGACCTTTGGGGAGATTCAACTCTTGGACTGGCCTGAAGACCCATAGGCAGTGTGGGGACCTGTGAAAGTGGGCTCCTGCCCAGAATGACAGGACTTGCCAGTGCCACACAAACCTCATACAGCACTCACCGCGGCCCTGACAGTTGCAAACTCCACTATGGCGTTGCCTGCCTTCTTTCTGGAAAGCACCAGGTTGAGAACCTCTCCATACTGTGGGGACAAGAGCGCCACATTAAGTACAACTGGACACACAACACGGCCCATTATGCTACAGTCCAGCCTGAAGTAAGTTAGTACTCGGGACCCAGAGAAGCTAAGCTGGAGAGAGTTGTTTTCATTTCCTAAGATATACAGGACAGCAACGGGGAGACAGGCGGAGCACCAAGACCCAGGCTAGCACACAGCAGAACTGTCTCAACTTCTGGAAGAGGAAAAAGGAGGGGGCGTTCATTCCAGACAGCCACCTCCGCTCCTCAACACATGCAGCTAAAGCCTGAGTTTTAAGGAAAGGGTTAGGCGTAGGCAGGGCAGGAGAACTGGCCAGAGGGGCACATGAGCACTCAGTTCCAGGGGAGTCTCTAGACGGACAAGAAAAGAGAAGTTCAGGGCATCTGAGCTCTCTGGTCTGAGATGACAGGGAGTGGCAGATGTCAGCAGAATCTACCTTTTGCAAAAGTCTCAGGAGGACATCTCTGGAGTAGCCGCCTTGGGACCCATCCTCCTTCTCACACTTCCACTTCAGCTGAAAGACAACATGACCATCAGCCACACCAGGCTCTATGAGCTCGCCACTCCGAGCAGACCCCGCTGCTCTCCAAACTCTGGTGATTTAGACTACCCAGGCTATGCCTCCTGAGGAAACTGAGAGGGAGGCAGGCTGATTAACCTTAGGAACACTTTGTATACCATAAGAACCCATCTCGGGGGCTAGAGAGATGGCTCAGCGGTTAAGAGCACTGCCTGCTCTTCCAAAGGTCCCGAGTTCAATTCCCAGCAGCCACATGGTGGCTCACAACCATCTGTAATGGGGTCTGGTGCCCTCTTCTGGCCTTCAGGCATACACACAGAGTACTGTATATATAATAAACAAATAAATATTTTTTTTAAAAAAAGAACCCATCTCAAGCAGGCGGTGGTGACAGCATATGCCTTTAATCCCAGCACTCAGACAGCGACAAGCAGATCCCTGAGTATGAGGCTAGCCTGGTCTACAGAGTGAGTTCCAGGACAGCCAGGGCTGTTATACAGAAAAACCTTGTCTCAAGAAAAGAAAAAGAAAGAAAGAAAGAAAGAAAGAAAGAAAGAAAGAAAGAAAGAAAGAAAGACAGACAGAAATAGAGCCCATCCCAGCTGGAAAAGATGGTTCATCAGTTAAGAATGATTCTTGATCTTCCAAAGGTCCAGAGTTCAATTCCCAGCAACCACATGTGGCTC